TCCTCATGGATCGAGACTAAGCAGAGGGCCTGGGCCATCTGGTCACTCATGCTGTGGGAGCAGAGCCCCCCGGACTGGACATGGGAGCAGAACTGGCCTCCCCACTCCCCTCCACCACCCACCCACCAACGGGCCTGGAGCAGAGACCCTGGGACTGCCCACACACACGCAGGTCCAAGATTAGGGACCACATGCCCAGGGCACATAGCAGCAGAGGACAGAACACAGGCGGGCAGGGCTGTGGGCAGGAATATGCAGGCGCCACGCGCAGGGCCACGCCCACGCCCACGGTCCGTCACCTCCGAGGGCCGTTGCTCGTGGAGGACAAGGGTGCAGTGTGCTGACAAGAGTGGGGAGCACGGCAGGGGGCATCGCCCAGGAGAGAGCGGTGGCTTCTCTGAGGGTTAGCCTGCTCAAGGACAACTCTAGCCTCCCGGGCCCAGTGGGGGGGCAGCGGCGTCTCTGCAGACCCTGGGGGATCTGGGCCGGCTGGAGGTGAACAGGAAAGTCTCCTGGGTCTAGGAGCCTGTCAGGGCCTGAAACAGGGCCGCCCCCACTGCTGGCAGCCTGGAGCCCAGGAGTCCCAGTTCCGCAGACAGAGGACACTGCTCCCACCAACACCTTCTCCTTGCATGAGGCCTCAGGGTCAGCAATGGTGATGCCCGTGGGGTCTCAGGGCCTGCCCACCGTGGAGCCTGGCCCTGCCCTGCTCAGCATGGCACCCTCCTCCCCTCTGGGGCTCTTAGGGTTAACTTTCTAACGAGGTTCCACACAAAATGCCACAGAAGAATGTGACCCCTGGAGGTGGCAGGGGAGAGCTTCTGCCCGGGACCCCAGCTCTGTCCACGCGGGGAGAGCAACCCCTGCCTCTGCAGGCCTGCACCTGGACACCCAGCACACTCCCATCCACTCCTCAGGGAAGCAAGGAGTACTGCGTGGGGTGGAATTTCCTGAAGCAGCTCAGCACCCCCAATCTTGGCAAATGACCCCATTTCCTCCCTTCAGGCAGGAGGGAGAGTCCCGTGCAGACACAGTGATGGGGTCCACAGGGAGGACTGCACGCCATCTTTCCCGGGGCCTGTCTCCCTCTCGCGGCAGCAGGAAGAGGGGGTGCCGAGTCCACAGGAAGGCACCACGCAGGCTCAGAGAAGAACTGCCCAGGTAAAGGCCCTGTGGGCAGAGTGGAGCTGCCTGCCAGGAGCGGACCCACTGGGGGTCCCCGAGCTGGAACGTGGGACCCCAGCTCCAGCAAGGCTGTGCTGTGCATACATGGGGCCCATGGGGTGGGGGTGGAGGCACCAGGGAGAGACCCCAGCCACTGAGACAAGGCAGGAAGCAGGACAAGGAACAGAAGACCTGGACAGACGGATCCAGCAGAAGAAAGCGGCTGAGGGGGGTGCAGGGGACAGTTGAGAGAGGGAACAGGGAGGCGTGGAAAGTGCACTCCAGGCGGGGACACAGGGTGGCGAGGACAGCGCCTGGCCACCGGCCAGGTCCAAGGGCTGGGGCAGGGGTGCAGGGTGCTTGGCGGGCAGCCGCTGGCTCTGCGCACCCGGGTGGCCCGCGACAGCTCCACAGAGGACACCACACCACACACTTTCTGTCCCATGCATTTCCTACCTGGAGGCCCCGTAGGTTTGAGCTTGCGAGCTTTCAAGTGTTTTCACACACACACAAGGGAAAAGAACGAAAATTTAAAAAGAACAGGGTAAGAAAAGAAAATGAGAAATAGTCGAGGAGAGTGGGGGAAACAACAGAACAGAGAAAATTAGCACGCAGTCCACCCGCCTCGGCTGGGAGGCGGGCACGGTGCTGACTACTGGAGGGCGGAGCATCCCGGCCAGCGGAGGGGCTGGCAGCCTGCCCGGTGGAAAATCCTCCGAGGCAGGTGCCCGTGGGGGAGGCCTTTGGCCTGCCAGGCCATCCCCTGACTTCAACACCCTCAGGAGGATCCTGCCCAGCCCCCTCGGGTGAGGGGTCCATGGGTGGAAACCCCGGGGGTGGGCACGGGGTCTCCTTGGGCTGGGAAGCCCGAGGGCTGAGCTTCACCCCACAGGGTGGAGGGCTGGGCAGTGCCCACCCACCCAAGGGCATGAGGCCCAAGCAGACACCGGCAGCCCCCAGCCCGTCACCTCAGACCTCCATTTAAGCAAGAGCCCAGCAGACAAATCCTAGGGGCGGCCACTCTTCTCCAGGCTGCCAACTGCTCTTGCCCAGAAAGCCCTTTGCCTGCTGACCACACAGCCTCAAGGGCTTGTTGGCAGTGCCTCGGCCAACCACGCCCAAACAGGGCTTCCCGCCCCTTCTCACCCAACCCAGGGCGCCTGGAACCCCAGGGTATCTGGGCCTCCTGGCCTTAAAGCCTCGCTGGGGTCTGGGGTCACACTCCTTTCTCCATGCAGAGACCCCGGTCCTCTAAAGTGTGGAGCCGCCCCAATGGTCACTGTGCCTGGGGCGTGTGCCCGAGCTCTTGGGGGAGCCGTCCCTGGAGGGCCCACGACACCATGCACCTGGCAAGGAGGCTAAGGGGCCTGGGGGATGGAGGTGGAAATAAAAGCCACGAGCTATGAAACAAGGCAAAATCAACAGCGAAATAAACCACACACAGAACTCCATTTTGAAAAGTACATACATTTTAAAGAAAACAAAAAACAAAAATCATTCAAAATAATGGACAACAAAAAATGAGGTTTCAGGACAGACAGGAAATGAAACCGCCGAGGCACGGGGCTGGGCCGTGGCCGTGGCCGTGGCTGCAGTGGTACCTGTACATGGGCACGGTGACCGTGCGCTCGTAGTACTGCCACGTCGAGTGCAGGTCCGTGCGCGACAGGTTGGTGGCGTAGAACCTCCAGGCGGACTGGCGGGGGACACAGGCGGGTCAACCTCAAGGGCAGGGCTGGGGACACAGCGAGCACTCGGGGCCCTCCCACCTCTCGAGGGCATCCAGGAACCTGTCCCCGCCCCCACAGGCCTCAGTTTACCCTCTGTAATTGGACAGCATGGCTGCCTGCCACCGCTGATGGCGTCGTGGCGGGGACAACAGAGCACACGGCAGCCTGCTCCTCCCCTCATCCTCCTCGCCTGACACCCAGCAGTTACAACCCGGCATCACGGTCAACTCCTGCCTCCCCAGTCCTGAAGGGACATATGCGGCCCATGCAACCTCAGGAGCTGGGAGAAGGGACACAGGCCTCCGCCTCCCAGCGTGGCAGCCCACAGACAGTGGGAGAGCCAAACCACACAACGTGGCATCCTGGCCTGCTGGTTAGATGTCCTCTACCTGACCTGGGCCTGTCCCCAACTTTTGTACGTGTAGTGAAGTAACACAGAATTCCCTGTGTTAACCATCTTAAAGTGTACAGTCCAGAGGCATATAGTGCATTCGTGTTGCCGTGTAATCCTCACCACTGTTTGGTTTCACACCCTCACACCTGAGAGTGAAGCACCCCCACCCCCACCAGGCCTGGCAGCCCCCGGTCCACACAGTGCCCCAGGGGTTCCTGCCAATGGAATCCTATAACGTGGCCTCTCGTGCTGGCTTCCCTCACGGAGCATGTTTGCAAGACCCAAATATGTGCCACATTCTTTCTAAGGCTAAATGACATTCAGTCTGATGGGTGACACCACACTGTTTACCCTTCATCGGCAATGGGCAGAAGCCGTTCCCACCTTTTGGCTGTTGTGAATGAGGGCTGCTGCAAACATTGGTGTGAACGGTTCTGGTTAAACACCTGTTTTCACTTCTTTTGGGTGTATATTTAAAAGTGGGATTGCTGGGTCATATATGAAAATGTTTATTTTTTTTCAGGAAGCCCCAAGCTTTTCTGGAGTGGTTACACCATTTCACGTTCTTGCCAGCAGTGCTCGAGGGCCCCAATACTCCACATCCTCTCACACACTCTTCTATTTTTCTATTTTAGTCACCCCATGGATGTGAAGTAGTGTCTCACTGTGGTTTTGACTTGCATTTCCCTGAGGAGTAATGATGCTGAGCATGTGCCTTTGTGCTTGTCGGCTACCTGTACATCTTTGGACAGATATCTTTTGAAGTCCTTTGCTCACTTCCTAATTAGGTTGAGCTGTAAGAGTCCTTTATAGCTTCTGCACACTAGGTGCTTATCAGAGATCTGATTTGCAAACACCTTTGCCCGTTCCATGGGTGTCTCTTCATCCTATAGTGTCGTTTAATGCACCTAAGTTTTTTAATTTCAATAGTTTTATTTATCTATATCTTTTGTTGCTTGTGCTTTTGGTGTCATTTCTAAGAAACCAAAGTCATGAAGATTTATACCTATGATCTCTTCTAAGAGTTTTATAGCTTTAGCTCTTATATTTATTTTCTTCATGGTTACCCGGGATTGCGATTAACATCATAAACTTCTAACAATCTAGTCTGAATCAATACCAAGTTAGCATCAATAGGATACAAAACTCTGCTGCTGTGCAGTCCCCCTTATGTTGTTACTATTACAACTACACTTTTATACATCGTGTGCCCAGAAATGTAGATTTGTGATTACTGCTTTATGCATTTGTCTTAAATCATATAAGGAAAAAAATAAGCTATAAACTAAAAATATACTACTTGCTTCTATCTTTACCTCTGTGGTTACCTTTACCAGTACTCATATGGCCTGGGTTACTGTCCAGTGTCCTTTCATTCCAGTCTGAAGGACGCCCTTTAGTGTTTCTTGTAGGCAAGTCTACCAGTGATGAACTCCCTCAGCTTTTGTTTACATGGGAATGTCTTCACTTCTTCATTTTTGAAGGATAGTTTTGTCAGAAATATAATTCTTGTTTGACAGTATTTTTCTTTCAGGACTTTAAATATATCATACCACTGCCTGTGGCTTCCATAGTTTCTGACAAGAAATCAGCTGTTAGTCTTACTGAGGGTCCTCACCCATGAAGAGCCCCTTCTCTTGCTGCCTCTACAATGCTGTATCTGTCTTTGGGTCTTAGTAGTTTGATCATAAAGTCTCTTGTGGTCTGTTTTTACTCCTTGGAGTTCATTGAACTTCTTGGATGTATAGATTCATGTCTCTCATCAAAGTTGGGAAGTTTTCCACCTTATTTCTTCAAATATGCTTTTTTGCCCCTTTCTTGCCCTCTCTTCTTCTGCCTCATAATTTCTGGTTGAAAATTGGATGCTTTGAATGTTGTAAGAGCAACTTGGTGGCACCTGTGACAGTCTGGCCAGGGCCCAGGGCCCACACTCGGCAACAGCCATCTGGAAGTCAGATTCTGCTCCCTCCCCATGATTTGTTGTTGCTGCTTGTTGTTGATTGCATTTGTCTGTTTACTGACTTTTCTAAACTATTTCATACACGCTGTATTCTTTGTTGTGTGTGGTCACTCAAGTCTCTGCTCCATAAGCTCAGTGGTCAACTAGTGATTTGACAGAGGTTTCCTTAAACCCAAGGAACCCAAAAGGAAACACTCAGTCTTTACAGGTTGGCTGTGTTGGGCACTCCTTCAAATTTACTGAGGCTACTTACAACTCTGTGTTAGCCTACACTTCCTGCTTGCACAAAGCCCAAAGTTCCACCTGAGGGGAAGGCCTAGGGTCTTCTCCAGTCACCTCTGATCCTGTATCCAGCCCTGGACATGTGTGTGGCCTTCTAGTTCCCCAGTACATGGGGGTCTTCCCAGAGTCCCAATTTTTCCATGTGTCTCATTCCCAAACCTGTTCATCCCAAGTTTTTCAGTTTGTCCATTGCTGGTCCCATCTGCTGTCCCTGGCCCTAGTGGCTGCAACTAGCACAACCACCTTCGCATTCAACAGACACCACCTAGAAGGCTGCTCCAGCCCTGTAAGTTTCCAAGTGAGTAAAACAAAGGCAAACTCTCGAGGTAACTCAGAAAGCACTGTTGGACATGGAGTGGCTGCTGCATTTCTCATGGTGGGGCTGGCTGGGTGACTTAGGGCAGCACAGATGTAGCTCAAGCACCTACTGGCTACCTGAGTGGGGGGTGTCTTTGAGCCCCAACCCCACATATGCAGGACAGGTGAGATAGTGTCCCTGTCTACCAGGGCACTGTGAAGAGCAACTTGGTGGCACCTGTGACAGTCTGGCCAGGGCCTGGGGCCCACACTGGGCAACAGCCAGCACCAGCATCATCACCTTGTGCTGTGCTTGCTGCTATAAGGCCTGGGGCTTCTAAACTGATTCTCAGCACATGAACTTGACTTCCCACGCCCAGCACGTTCCTGCAAAGGGACAACACTGAGCAGGGCTTTGCTCCTGGACATGCTGGAGTCAGGTCAGGGGGTTCCACTGGTCCTGAGTGGAGACCACCTGGACTCACCTGGATAAGGCCTGCAGCAGGGTTCCGCCTCTTCTCAAAGTGTTTCTGCCGATGCTGCTCCTGAACTTTCAGGGCAAAGCCAGACCCCAAAATGCCCTGCAAGTCATTGGGGTCAGATGGTGCCCCTGGGACCATAGCGCCCCACCCTCACCCCTCACTTACCTCTTGGGCTCCACCTCCTACCTCCTTAGTCCCTAATCACCTGGACACCAGGCTGGGGGAAACACTTGGATTTGGGGTAAAGGACACATCAGTTTGTAGAAGCGTGGCAGTGCCCACACTGAACACATCTGGGCCCAAAGGTTAATCGTCCTTCCCTGGTCTATTCATATTGTAGCAAGTGCAAGCCAGGATCTCAGTGAAGGGGCCACCTAGGATAGCAGCCTCTCCAAGACTGCCACTTGCCAGCTGGTCCTCTGCCCAGCCCGGCAGTGGGTGGACAGTTGACAGAGCCCTCACCCCTTCTGCAGAAGTTGGGGTCTTTGGTCCCCTGGAGACCTGACAAGGGAGCTGTGTCAATGTGCAGCATTGATCCTAGCCTACTGGCCAGTCTCACCAGACTGGGAGGAGCTGTGGGGTCAGAAGATGTGGGGTCAGAAGCCACAGCCTGGGGATGCTCGGAGCACTCTGATGCTGTGTTAAGAAAGCTACCAGCTTCAGGCCAGGGGAGCCCCACTCAGGTTCCCAGGAAGGGTGCCTCCTTGCACCTGAGCTGCCATCTCCAGCACCCTGAGGGCTGTGGACCGTACTGGGAGCCCCGCTCCTATCCCACATTCCCTTAGGGGATGGGTGCCCAGGGCAGCCAGTGGTCACCTGGGGAGCCCTGAGACCCCACCTTCATCAAAGGCAGGAAGGGGAGCAGGACTCACAGCAGGAAGAGCAAAGAAGGAGACACCAATGAGGGTGAATGTTGCTGCCAGGAGCCTCCCGTTCCAGGTCTGGGGGTACTTGTCCCCGTAGCCAATGGTTGTCAGGGTGATCTGCAGGACAGCGAGTAAGGTCACATGCCAGACCTAGCAGTGGCCACGTAGGGGGTCAGGGGGCACAGGGGAGGTGTGGATGAGGGTCCCCAAGGAAGGCATGCCTGGCAAGCACGTCCTCAGTAAAGGGCAACAAGCCCAGCAGCTGGGACTCACCAGGCCCCACCAGAGCGCATCTGCGTAGGTGTCGAAGTGATCATTCTCCCCCTTCTCTGCCAAGTACACCAGAAACGAGGCCAGGATGAGGCAGAGGAAGCCGATGTACCAGGCAGTAACCAGCTCCTGAAAGAAACGGCCGTGTCAGAACACCTGGCCAGTGTCCAGCCCAGCCCGCCCTCAAGAGCACTGGGGCCGGCTGCCCGGAAGCTGTGTCTGCAGGGCTTTAGGAGCAGACAGTCCCCAGCAGCCCAGGCAACAGCTGCCCAGCCACATGGTCCCAAGCTTGGGGCAGGCAATAGAGGTGGCTTGTTTTCCTGGGTGTCCCCACACCTGAGCACTTCACACCCAGGAGGACGCTGGCTAAGGAAGCCCAATATGCATGTCCGTCCAAGTTTGGGAGTGTCCCCAAGCACCCAACAGGCCATCAGGCCACAGAACGTTGGAACCTGATACCCTAGCTCAACTTCCCTGAGCCTGGGGGAGACACCCTGATTACCTGCAATCCTTGGGGGATCCAGCACCACAGCACCTTGGGGGACCAAGACACTTGGTCCTGCTGAGCAAGTCCCCACCTCAGGGCTCAGACAGGAGGGAGAGTGGTTAGCGGGGGATGGGGGCCAGTGAGCCCACCCACCACCAGGGTGGCACAGCCAGGTAGGGCAGGGTCTGGGCCTCCTGGGAGCTCCCTAGAGTGTGGGGAAGTGCTCAGGCTGGGACGCGACTACAGCCACCTCCTGGGTCCCACTGCCAGCGACCACCACCAGCTGCAGCCTAAATGGGTAGTGACTGGGGTATTGATCCCAGCACACCTACCCAACCTTGGAGCCAGTGGCTGTGGGCAGGGCCAAATGGACTGGGGGCTGCTCAAGAAAGCTGGCCAGACCTTCTGGGCTCCATCCAGCTAGCCCTTGCACCCTTCACCTATGGCTGGCTCACCTTGCTGTGGGCATAAACCACAGAACCCAGGAGCTTCCAGGTGCCGCCACGCCGGTCCATGCGGATCATCCTGAGGATCTGCAGGAAGCGCAGGCTCCGGAGCGCAGAAGTGGCGAAGACGTTGCCTTGGGAGCCGGCGGCCAGCACTGCGATGGAGGCGATGAGCACCATGATGTCTGCAGAGACGGGGAGCTCAAGGCAGTTGTGCGTGGGGGACAGTGCCTCCCACCTGGGTTCCAGGAGGATGGACAGATGGGTGGAGGCATGTGCAGAGCGTGCGGTGGGGGGACCGTGACTACTGTCTGCCCAGCCCTGCCCTGGGCACCCCTGCCCTGCACTCCCGCCTTTCAGGCCACATTAACCATGAGCCCTGATGCCAAGAGGGTGGAGCATCCTGCAATCTTGCTTGGCTTTCCCGCTCCTTCCAGGGCCCGTGTCCATCCTGCACCCTCACTGGGCCTCACCGATCACACAGAAGGGCTTCCGGGCAAACTTGAGCCGCCCCCTCCAGCCACGGTACCGGCAGCAGCAGCCCGCGGCCCAGATCCGCACAAAGTATTCCACACCAAACACCACGATGGTCACGATTTCCTGCCGGGGAAGCTGCAGCTGAGCCACCTCAGGGACTAGGGCAGCAGCTGGGTGGCACGGGCAAGCTAGAGCCATTAGGGTCCTCCCCAAAGCCTAGGGCAGCCCCCGGAGAGACCAGGGAGGGAGGGCTCCCCAGAGGTGCATTCTAGACAGGGGAGGCCCCCCTGTCACCAACAGCAACACAGGAAGTACAGTGGTTGCCATGGCGCCCACCCCTGCCCCTCATGGGATTGTAGTGTCACCACTCTTGCCCCACCTGCACCCATGCCTGCCAGGGCACACACCGTGTCTCCATGGTTGGGGGGACACGGGTCCTCAGGTCAGTGAGAACGGAAGGTGGGGATGGGGCTGACCAGGCTGGGTCAGGCTGGGGTATAGCCGGGTATAGGAGGAGGGGCAGGTGGGACCCCTTGCCAGAGGCCAGCTCCCCTCCACCTCGGGGGCCTCACCAGGATGTAGAGGGCACCCTCCGAGCTTTTCTCGTACTCCTTGATGGTGGAGAACACGGACAGCACAAGGCAGGAGAAGACCAGCAGGAACCTAGGACCAGGGAGGCACCGTCAGGCAGCGGCAGAGGCCAGGGGGCCAGGGCCGGACGCAGAGCAGAGGTGACTGCTGAAGAAGCCCCCATTCCCCTCACCCATCTGGTCAGCCCTGACACCTCCTGCTTGGGGGAAGTCCCCAAAACTCAGAGTAAAAGGGAGCAGGCCTGGCAAGACCCCCACCTGCCCCACAGCGTAGGCGGCATTCCCCTCCTTACCCATGTGCCCTCCCCAGGCTCTGTGACAGAAACTTCCTGTCTTCCTGTTAACACTGACCTTCACAAAAGGCCACCCCAGGGCCGTTGGCTATGTCAGTGTGGGAGGTCCCATCATGCATGACCAGGTGTCCATATGGGGGTCCCCTCTTGTGTGACCTGGCATCCATGGGGTTCCCCTTATATGTGACCCAGTGCCCAAGGGGAGGGTCCCCTCCTGTGTGACCTGGTGTCCGTGGGGGTCCCCTCCTATGTGACCCAGTGCCTAAGGGGAGGGTCCCCTCCTGTGTGAACTGGTGTCCGTGGGGGTCCCCTCCTATGTGACCCAGTGCCCAAGGGGAGGGTCCCCTCCTGTGTGAACTGGTGTCCGTGGGAAGATCCCATCCATGGACCTGTGTCTACTGGCCACCCTATAGGTTCCTGACTGACAGGCACTGGGAACCACTGTGCAGGCAGTGTGGACACCGAGGCTCTGTCCAAAGCGCCAGCCAGAACAGATAGGGTGGGTAGGGGTGGGGTCTCAGGGAGCAGAGCCCCTCATGTTGAGGACCTAGTCCAGGGCTCCTGAGGGGCACAAAGCCCATAGCTTGGGGAAGCTGGATGGGAGCCCCACACCATGCCCCTCCCGTGTGTCCTCACCACCCGGACACCCCACCACCCCAGCCCCAGCTCCATAGGCCCCAGGAGCGGAGAACATCAGCCTCCTGGTGGCCAGGGGAGAGGGGGCTGAGGTCCTTTGGGGCCAGTGCTCCATTGTCCAACCTGAGCCTGGACCCAGCGACACGTGCTCTGGCCCAGCCCCACCCTGTCCTGTTGCTGGACATCCCGCCTGCACCCAGCCCGGGCTGCGCTGAGTGTGCTCAGTACCAGGGAGCCTCTGGTGGCCCTGCCCCGTGAGCCCCACCACCTGGCGACTACGCCAGGGACACAGACCCCCCTACGGGGCTAAGGGCCCCTCCCAGGAGGAGTATGGGCATGGCAGAGGCGCCAACAGAGGGTAATGGGCACAGACAGTGCCTGCTGACACGGTGCCCACAGAAAAACAGTCACATTTCAAAACCACAATTAATTTCCTTTGCTCATTAGCCAATTCATTCAATTAACTGAGCCCTGGAAGAAAGGCCAGATATCTCGTGGGCCTTACATTTGTAATTGTCTATCTGCCTGGTGGTGTTTTCTCCCGATCCAGCTGTGGGGAAGGAGTGCCCATGCCCAGAGTGGATCCGCCAGGGGCAGAGGATGGCAGACTCCAGGTTGGGACCTGGAGGTTGGGCATGGGAGACATGGAAGGCACTGCCCACCACAGAAGGGGCACCTCTTGTGAAGCAGGGAGCCAGGGAGTCATGTAACCCAGTGGGCTTCCCTGGGGAGGTGTCCATGAGGATGATCTGGAGTTGGCGGGGCCAAGAGTGCAGAAGGGAAGGAGCTCCTGGCAGAGGGAAGAACAAGACGGAAGGCCACAATGGGGAGAGTGGCACATCCAGGACCCAGCAGAGGGCGGGCCTGCAGGCTGCAGAACGGGCAGGGAGATGCCTGGCACTGCCATCCCCATGCGGGGATTCAAACAGCCAAGTACAGGGCTGGGCCCTCACCGACCACTCCTCATGCCGCACAGAAACATTCCTCAGAAGTCCCGAGGTGACCAGGCCCTCTCAGCCCTGCTTCCTGAGGGCAGCTCTGACGGGCATTCCAGAACATTCTGGGATGGCCTAGCCATGCTGTACAGCCTGTCCCAGCAGGCAGTAACCGGGAAGTAGGGAGAAGACAAGCCCTCCCTTCCCCAGTGACCCTACTCCAGAAGGTGCCAGCAACAGCTCCAGGCTTGTTTTTGAAGTTTCAGAACAGACAGTCACAGACGGTACCCAGTTGGGGAGGCATCACAGACTCAGGAAGGAGGCTCCCAATGCCCACACCCGAGGAGGAGGGTCAGACAGGGAGGCCACATGCGTCTCCTGTCACATCCCCAGAGCAAAGACAGATTCCACTCGCCATGCCTGCATGCCCAGGACTAGGGGGCCCAACTCGGGAGAGGTACCCCTCCAGACTGCAAGGCCTCCCCTCTCTGCTCCTCCAAGCAGATGAACATCAGACAAAAGACTTTTATTTCCAAGCCTCTTTCTGTCCGTAAGCACCTTGGTGTCCAGCTACTGCCGCCCCCAGCACACAGTGGCATCCCAGGCCCCCTAGTGGGGACCTTAGAGATGGGGAAACTGAGGCTTTGAGAGGGTGATGGGGGCTTTGCCTCTGGCCTCATGGTCTCTGAGCACAATGCCCTCAGTGCCCAGAGACACCGCATGAAAGTCCAGCCCTGGGGAGACCGATCTCAGACACGAGGCTCCACTCTCCTGCAAGGGGGTGGGGTGTAACCATCCTTAGCCCCGCAGTCCATCCAGGGGTCACCCTGGGCAGAGCCCGAGTTTCCCTAAGACGCTCAGGGATGTGAACATAGCAGTGCTCCTGCCTGTTCTCCCACAGACCTTTCCCATCTCCTGCGCCCGAGCATCCTGGTCTCTGGGAGCAGGCAGCTGCTGGCCAGGAGCTCCTCTGCCTGTTCCTGCAGTTCCTGCCCCTCGGGAGAGGTGAGGGGGCAGCGCTGGCATGCTGTGGCCCTGCTGGGGCGGCCCTGTGTGCCCAGAGCACTGACCCCCTCAAGTCCCAGAGGACAAGTGCAGCCCATGAGGATCTAGGTCCGCTTCCTCCCGAGAGACGGACAGGACAGGTGAGTAGCCTTGTCTGCCCGCAACTAAACGCCAGCACCGCCCTGCCTCTCCAATATCTGGATCAAGGCCCTGGGACCCCCGGGGGTAGTGTACCAGCCTTCCAGCCAGGTAACTATCCAGGCTGCAGGGAAAGAAAAGATGGAAGATGGGAGGCTAATTATGATAATGAATTCAAAGTGGAGACTATCCTGGCAGCAGTTGCCAAGGAAACAAGCATCTCAAGCAGCTGGTCCGGATTCCAGGGGCCAAAATGTGGGGCAGGCAGGGCAGCCAGTGTGGGAAGCGACCTCAGACAGTGCTCACCTGAGCGGTGGGAGAATGGCCTCCCCGACTGCGAGCAGCTGACGCAGGCACTGTGCTGGCCAGAGCGCCCAGTCACTAGAGGCCACAAGGGAGGTCGGCCCCAGCACTCCAGGATCCACAGCAGCAGGAGACACCTCAGCCAGATGTCAGGGGTCTTCCAGGAACAGCCTGGGCTCCAAGCAGAGGCACGACCCCTCATTTGAAACAGGAGGATGCAGGGCAGAATCCTGAGGGGCTTCTGGGAGCCCCCACTCAGGAGATGGCTGGGGTTATTAATCTCATTTTACATATTTAATGAAACAAACATTTAACGAGTGGCAGAGGTGGCAGGGGTGGCAGAAAGGCAAGGCAAGTCATAGCCTCCCCTTCCCCTGCATCAGGAGGCTGATGTACAGAGAGACAGGCAGGGAGGGGCCAGGGTGGGTGGGAGGTGACAGGAGCCACCAGGGTGGTGGAGGCATAGTCATCACCTAGAGGAGCCCAAGTCAAGGCCTGAGGACACCCCTCCAGGTGGCCAGCCCCAGCCGCACCTACAGGTCTCAGGGTGCACGTTTACATGCAGGCGTGTGTGTGCATTCTTCCTGCCCTGCACACTTGGACGAGGGG